TAGCCCTGGCCAGTAGCAACTTTCATCCGCGAAACTTTCTGAGTGGCCTCTAGTGAAGCACCCCACAATACAATGCCCCTGGAGGCCAGAAGAGGGCATCAGATCCCCTAGTTATCTAGGTTTCAGATGGTTGTTAGCCCAAGATGCCTTTCCCTGGCTGGCCTCAGACTCACAGGGGTCTTTCTGCCTCCCAAGTGCTGGGATTAAAGGCATGCATCACCACACCCAGCTGATACTTTGTTCTTAATCTTCATGCTCGTCTTTTTTTTTAATTTGGCATGCTACTTTTTAAAATTTATTTTAGTGTATGAATGTATTGCCCACACATAAGTGCACCCATGTTGTGCAGTGCCCACAGAAGTCAGAAGAGGGCATCAGATCCCCTGGGACTGGAGTTACAGGTAGTTGTTAGCTGCCATGTGGGTGCTGGGACTCGAACCCAGGTCCTCTATAAGAGCAATCAATGCTCTTAACCACTGAGCCATCTCTCCAGCTCCAATACTGGTCATTTTTTAATAATAACACTTGATCTCGCAATTTAAAATATGAACCTTGCTGGGCTTGCTTTTAATCCCAGTGCTTGGGAGGCAGAGTAAGGTAGACCTCTGTGAGTTCAAAACTAGCCTGGGCTACTAGCAAGTTCCAGGCTAGCCAAGTTAAAAAGAAAAACAAAATCAGATGATGAGTCTAGAGTTAAACACTCTCTGCCACCTGCACAATCATCAGAGGCACCACGCTCAGGGACCTGGGCAGCGCTGTTCCTGTGTGTCTGTGTGCATGTCTGTGTGCATGTATTCATGGGTGCACACGCATGTATGTGGAGGCCAGAAGACTCCCTAGGATGTCTAGCATGTGTCGTCGACCTTTTTTTGTTGTCCTTGTTTCTAGGGTCTCTCACTGGCCTGGAACTCGCCAAGCAGGCTAGGCAGGCTGGCCAGGGAGCCAGGGTTTATCTTGTCTCTGCCTACCCAGTGCTAGGACTGCCAAGTCCACCACTACACCTGGCTTTGGGGTGGGGGGTGGGGGTTCTGGGGATCAAACACTGGTCCCCTGAACTATCCCCCCAGGTGTTTATGTGAATTTCAGCAACACCAAAGGAGAGGTCTGTGTTCACTTAATGAGACAGAGCTGCTGTTTGTCACCACACTGGCTGTCTGTCCCCTCCTTTGATGGGTCTGCACTTGTGGTTTCTGAAGCTACAAGTTATCTGTAAAGGATCTTGCAAACCCCTGCCCACAAAAAGTGTGAGAAAACCTTTGGTAGCCACAGAGAAATAATCCTGAAGTTTCAACTCCTACCCAAAAAATCAACTGAGTACCGTGGGAGTTGTAACCAAATGTTTAATTCCACTAGATAGACACATGAAAGCGTAAGATGGTACAGGGCACCGTAGAAAACTGATGCTGGGTCAAGTACATGAGGCTGGGGCATCTCAAGGTCTGACTGGGGTCAGTGATGACAGCAAGTGGCATTCTCTCTGGTTATGTATTACGGTCAACGATACTTGGTCAACAATACTTGGCATAAAGTGCAGATAAATAATTTAAATGTTACAAAAGAAGATGGTCCCTGGAAAGTTCCAGGCCTCTCTAGACGAATGTGTAGGTCCACCGGTGGCACGCTGCGTTCAGATGGCTGCAGGCTCCCTGTGGGGGGTATGGTGGTACTGGTGGTGGCGTACCAAGGGCTTTAGCTTGCCAGAGTCAGACACGTCGTAGCTCGCCTTATACTTGGCCAAGATCTTCATGAGAGGCCGAAGTTTCAGCCACCACTGGTGTTTGGGAATCCGGTGCCTGTCAGGAGGACAAGGAAGTAGTTAAGTATCACATTTGCACTGGAAGACTACATCCAACTATATAGCCCAGGATAGCCTCAAAATTGTAACCATTATGCTTCAACCTGGTGAATGCTGGGATTACAGGCATGTGCCACCATGCCCAGCTTGATAAAGGAATGTGTGTGTGTGTGTGTGCATGCGCATGTGTGTGATGTGTGTTATACTGGAGATAGAATCTAAGTAAGTGCTCCACACTGAACTATGTCCTCAGCCCTTTTTATGCTTTTTGAGACCAGGTCTCACCCAGTCTGACCCTGAGCTCTGAATTTTCCTAACTCAGCCTCTAAAGTGCTGGAATTACAAGTCTGCACCATCATACCCGACCTCACAGAGCAATTTTCACACTATTTCTAAAAGTCTGTTGCTGTGGTTTTTTAACTGGCCAGCAAAGCCTATTGTTATTTAAGATAGTTCAGTAAGTGAGTTCCTTTCAATACCTAGGTAGTTTGTTCTATTCTCAAGACACCTATCACATCATTCCTTCCAACGATTACATTCAGATGACAAATGCTTCACTGACTTACTCAAAATCTGTTTCCTTCCTCAATTCTGCCACTGGTTGAAAAAGGAGGTCTCTTTTGCTTATTCCCAGGACACAAATGGAATCGTCATTAACAAATTTTTTCCCTGTGGAATTAAAAAAAAAAGTCTTAAGAACTGTTTCTTCATCAATACTAAATTGACAGATAAAACAGCTTAGGAAGGAACAGTGAGAGGATTAGGAACCATCAGCACAAAACATGTAGTGAGGAGAGAAGTCAACTCCTCAGAATACCCCTGGGCTGGGAGCATCAGCTTTGACAGCCTGGCAGATCCATTACCAGCATAGATTGCAGAATTGTTGTTCCCTTGAGGTCCCTCCAGGCCTGGGGAGAGAGGCCTAGACTGACGGGCCCTTCCTGATCTCCCACACACTGAGGTGAGCCATTTCCCTACCACTCACATTTAGTCCATCTATGATACAATGGCCACCGGGGGGAGGGGCTCCTGGAAAGGAGCATTTTGTGCAGTTCTGGCCAATAAATATTTCACTAAATAGTGTAATAATAAAAGTCATTTAAATTGCAGAAAGATTTCAGTTAAATAATAAATGCTCACAAATGCATACAAAGGCTGAAAGTTACAAGAAGCATCCCCAGACAAATTGGAAAAGGAAATCTAAACAGAAAAAAGAAATACAAAAACAGAAAGTGGGGCTGGAGCGATGGCTCAGCAGTGAGGAACCCATCCTGCTTTTCCAGAGGACCTCAGTTTGGTTCTAAGCGCCTGCCTCGGCAGCTCAGAACTGCCCATAACTTGAGCTCCAGAAGATCAGACGCCCTCTTCCGGCCTCCATGGGTCCCCTAACAAATTGGAAAAGGAAATCTAAACAGAAAAAAGAAATACAAAAACAGAAAGTGGGGCTGGAGCGATGGCTCAGCAGTGAGGAACCCGTCCTGCTTTTCCAGAGGACCTCAGTTTGGTTCTAAGCGCCTGCCTCGGCAGCTCAGAACTGCCCATAACTTGAGCTCCAGAAGATCAGACGCCCTCTTCCGGCCTCCATGGGTACCCGCACACATGTGGCATATACTCACACAGACACACACACATCCACATAAAATAAAAATAAAATAAATCTTTAAAAAAGTACAGTCTTACCATCTTACTTGTTGGATCAAGTGTCATGGGAGGAATGGGCACTACCCTAGACTTGTCATTACACTAACCTTGTTGGTCAGCAGGATGATAAGCATGGCAGCTAATTACTCTTCCTTTTGAGACAGGCTAATCATCAATTTTTGACAGTCTTTGGTTTGTCCTTGCTGGCGTCATCCTGGTCAATGACGCTATTTAACTCTTTAGGCCCCTCTGCCTGGCAGAACTGGACTTACGAGGTGAAAGTTTCCACTCAAGACCTTTCTGAAATCACTCAAGTTTTCTCTAACATAAGTGGGACCACGCTTAATGTACCTGAGCTGCAGAGTGCTACAAAATACAAGATTTCTGTGAGAGCAAGTTCTCCTAAGGGCCCAGGCCCCTGGTCAGACTCTTCAGTGGGTACCACCCTAGTACCAGGTAAGAAAACGTTCTGAATCTATGGAGTGATTCTAAAGAGAACAAGCTTAGCCTGAATGTCCTTTAAAATTTCTTGTTTCTACTGTAGTGATCACATGAGAATTACATGAGAATGAGGTCTGAGGGTGAATTTTAATCTGAGATTAGGGACTCAAATAAAACACCGAGGGATATTTGTGTTTCTTACCCAATACTTTAAATATTCCAAGACATATTTGAGGAAACACTTTTCTTCTTCTTCATG